TAATCTAATATTATGGCATATATCCCTAACCACACTGTATTATGGGCATCTCAGTGTGGTAAGAGTCCCGTCTCAAGGTTGAGTAGCAAATGACCTGAATATGACCGGGATTAAAACCTGCATTTGCGACTTCCTAATGCTGTGCATAAATACCATCTACGTCTACGCCAATTCCAGCCCTACAGGTAACTGTCTAACTAATCGTGTTAACGACGCGGTGAGTCTTAAATATTAACGGATTTGATTTTACTGCTCCATTACTGTAATTTCGTGTGGCTGAATTCTTCTGAACCATGTGCTGGGATCTACTACTGCCTCTTTTTATGCATATATATCTTGATGTGCTATTCTGCAGTGTTTCTGTACTCTTTCTTATTCCCCCTTTGTTTTTCATTTATTTTTATTTGATATCTAGAAAGTTGACTACAACCTTCTGATATCGTTACATATATATTTTTAAAATGTTGTAACGGACGAGACATACAAGATGGCTGGCTGGAAGTAGTCGTTCATACCATGGATTTCGATGAGTTAGCTGGTGAATGCAAAAACAGCACATAACAATAAAAATCAAAAAAGAAGTATTTTTCCAGGGCCTAGTGAATTTAAAGGTGGGAGGGTGGTGACCGCTACTCAGCGGATATGATGGTGGGGACTTTAGAGAGCCACCCTTATCTGTGGGAAAGCGTTCTATTATTAAGGATCCTGAGTTTGAATAACTCAAACAAAAATCAAGATAAAAACTGCTTCAGTGCCACAGCTTGGGTATAAACTCTCCGAATACAAGCGCACGGTATGATTTCTCTACATCAAAAGGACATCTAACTGTATGAATCAGAACAACAGCATAAGTGTTCCTCAACTTTCGCTTTTCTTCTACATATTAAGCTTGCTTCAGCGTCCGGGTTTAGCTTCTGCTTCAGTATCCATTCCTACCATTACCCTACATAGGTGGGAACAGTCATCATCCTCAACTGTTTCTATATTTTTACTACTATAAACTTGGACTAACAGTTAGTATGAAACACTACAAAATTCAATGGCTATAAGTTTTTGGTAATAAAAATAGAGAGTGAACCCAGGGTTTATCGTATGTTGCTTGTTTTAAATTATTAATATTTCCTGGCTGTTCTTGCACCTCTCTTGCTGTTTTCTTCCATCTTCCGTTTCCAAAGGCACTGCATTGGAGCACTGCACATGTACAATGATGCTGCTCTCTACGTTAGTATTACTGAGCGGAGTTTTGAAATCACTAGAACCTACATTTGGCAGAAATTCAGATTATTGTTAGCACATATGATGAATAATGGAACAACCTCCATCATAAAATCCATCTATCGTCGCAAAGTTGGTCCCATAAATCCGCTAATGCTGCACTTACAGGTAACAGTAGAATTTTTACAAATTTTAAAACCTTTTATAACTGATAATGATTGTAAGCTATGCATTCTATGTGTCTTACAATGGCACATGTATATCCTATTTCTCCTTACCTTCCAGTAACGCGATCTTTTGTAGTTGCCGCGTGAAACTGACAGACTATAGGAGTATTAAATATTCAAAGTTAGCCTTAAACCAATTGCCTTTGACTCACTCGACTAAAATTATAAATTGCAAGTTACTTATAGTTACTTGAATTTTGTTTCTTTTTTCAATATTTGTCATAAAAGTGTTCAAGCTATAACTGTATTTGTAATATATGGTCATGCATGTACAGACGGCTTGTTAATCATGTAAACGCTTAATTTTGTGTGAATAAAATATTATTGTTATGTCGTGGTGTGATTATCTACTTGTGCACTCCTTCAAATCATAGTCAATAAATACACATCTCAGCAGTCGCAAGTGTTATATTCTTTCGCTAGTTGTGGAGATGCGAAGGGTAACCTGGCCACCAGGTTAGGCAGGCCAGACTATAGAGTCAGCAGGTAGTGTGGCTAGGGCTCAGGTCTTTCGGAATTATGGCCACACATCAACCATGAGCGTTATATCTTGGCGGAACCAACTGGAAACGAGCCAAAAATCATTCAAGAAGCCTAACTAACTGGTTTTCTGGATGCCTTATGAGTCACATTAAGTCCAAAACTCAGATGCAATTTCGGACAATGTTCAAGCTCTCAAGGAATCGGGCATCTACGTCCGCGCAAAAAGTATCAAATGACAGCCAGTTAATTTTGAGCTAAGCTGATGGAGAAGCGACGGCGAGAAAACTCTTTTTATTACTGGTTTTCAGGTGGTGGAAGTCCAAAGGTTGGTGTTATCCATACATCCAGACAGTCAGCCGTATGGGAGTCGTCTATATAAATTTAAAGGTCACTCGTTTGAATCTTGGCGTGGTTGGTTTATCATTCCAGGGAAGTCTGGATTCTCTTTTCCTTATAATAGCGAAGTCAGAGAGCAGATCTCACCACAATTTTCAGACTCTAAGATATAACTATGAAACCTATGTTCCACCTCTTTTCTTCTCCTTCGGATAAAAATACATCAGTGGTCAGGGAAGGAGGGTTTCTAGGAGATGACTGAGTGTCAACGTTTATGTAAAGTACGATGTATACCAACGCAAGTTCTGTTAGCCACAACTCTTATGGCATTTGTTCTGCCTAGGTCAGAAGCAAACCAAAAACACCAAATCGGTCGACAAAATTATGAAACATACTTCAGGGTCGCAATCTTAGTGCGATGTTCAATGCTCAGTTGGTTAGGAAGCGTGTAGTGACTAACGGTCGAGCGCAACATTACGGCTTGCCGAATGGCCTGGATGCTTAATTGCCAGCCTTCATTTTAACCAGTAGAATTAAACAGTGAAGATCAGTATCTAATGTTGAGTGATGAATGATGTGGGCCAATAATTTCAGGGAATTATTTGCCTCTGCAAATTAAAAATCCAAGGGAGAAGTGTACTGGTTCTCCCACCGCCTTATAAACTCTTTGGACTAATTCGCAGAAGGATTGGTGATCGAAGCACGAACCAACTTTATTGAGAATAGTTCATAAAAGCCAGACACTGGTGGGGGAAGGATTAATATAAAAACTTGGGTCTTATTGTACTTTCGCGCGTTATTTGTAATTGACACAATCTGGTCGGTTTCTTATTGGGTCGCAGTGACTACTTTTGAGGTTATTCGGCCTAGATATCAAATAACGTGAGGTTTTTATGTGTCATTTGCTTTTTGGAGGGAAGTGGTTGAGCTTTTGACGACAATCTCAACCAATCGCGCGCTCCTTGAATACGACGTGCATTTTTCCGTCTAACAGGAAATATCCACTTTTTTGAATAATTCGTTCGGGAAACCTGATATTCCTATCCGGCGAATTTTATTCAACCATTTCTTCTTCACCGAGCCTGTGTTTGGTACTTCCCACTGTCTCGAACTACTGCCCAAGCTTCAGGTGCTACTTCTGTAGCAACATCCCCCTAACTCTTTCAAATATACAGGACTTGTTGGTCTGTAACATGATTGTTGTGAAGCCGAATAACCCGAAAGTTACAGGTAAAGTCAAAAGCTTTTACTTATATACTTTATCTTTCTGTTCTGTGCTTTCTACTGTCTTTTGCTGTCAGTCTATTGGACAAAACTCCACTGTCTTTTATCATCTAATCATCGGTATTATTTTAGGAGCAAAATGACTATAGATTCTCACCCCAAGATAAGTAATGGGAGAACATACACCGTAGTCACCAGAGCTTCAGCCAAATTAGGGAAACAGGTGAAGGTGATGGAATCTCGCATACCGGTCTTGAAGACCAGGGTAAATATTCCCTGCGTGAACAGATTGTCCATGTCGCCGCAGTCCTACAGTGAAACTGTGAAAAGTCAACTAAGCGGATGTGGCCCCATCCCTGTTAACACGACTGAGTTAATAGAGGCGAGTGGTAAATCTGCACAAAGTGGGAATAGTATGACACCCATATCCACAGTAGGCCTTGAAACAAACAGGAAGGCCAATAAGAAACGTTCACGACGTCGCAAGACGACGAAAACGTTCCCCAAGAAGGCAGACGATTGCAAGGTCTGCAATTCTATTGTCGAACAAGCAGACTCTGCTTTGGAATGTAACTTTTGTAAGCAATGGGTACATTGTAGATGTGACACCGGAGTACCAAAGGTATATTACGATTTTATGCGTAAGAACCCATGCCCATGGTTCTGGTACATATGCCCAAGTTGCCGTCCTAATGCAGCCTCGTGTAGTTCCTCGAAAGCTACAGATGGCATAGAGGTATCAGGAAATAACGTGAAACGTTTTACTCCCACCAACTCAGAAAACAGCACAATTGCATGTAAATCGGGGATACCAAAATCCACACCGGTTATACTTGCGATTCCTGCCATAACTGCCCCAGACACAGAGGTTGAAGCACCAAGGGTACCTGTCGCTGGGAAAAGACCCTTACCGTCCACCAGTAAAAGTGGCCACAGCACTGCGACACATAATACCCAGTTGCACCAGACGAAACAAAACGGTCTTAAGAGGGATGACAAATGTGCGAGGACCGAACCTAAATCCACGGTCAGTCGATCAAACTGCGTTATCCTCTTTAATGTACCAGACTGTAGCAGTAGTCTGCTGGAAAACAGGGCCCTGTTTGATCAGGAACAGTGGTCCGACTTATGTAGCACACTGGGTCTGGACATCCAACCAGTAAGACTATGCAGATTGTATGGGGGTACTGCTGCTCCTCAAGGCAAACCATCCCCACTGAGGGTAACACTAGGCTCAACAGAGGATGCCGAAAAAGTTTTATTGACTTCCCAAGTCCTTTCTATAGGGAGGACCTGCAGTATACGTGTTAGGCCGAATAGGCCATGGAAGGAAAGACAGATGGCGAGGGAGTCGCCAGAGCTTATTCCTTCTGCCTCCATGGTTGTTCACGGCATTCCCGAACTGGGAACGCTTGTGAGAAGCACTGTCACGATGTCCAGCAATGGAGATGGTTGGCATCCCAGATGGGTCTGGGAAGTTCAAGGATATTGGATATTATGCTGAATCACTTTTCAAGGACATCCGAAATTCCGCTAATTATGAAAGTTTTCTCTTCATTGACCAGCCTAACTCGTCGGAATACCTGTTTTACTAGGTCAGCATGTCTGCCTGGGTATTCTGCCGAGACATCGGGCCTTGGTGTACGATGTGCATCTACCATGCATCATGTTGAAGACGATAAGGTTAGCTTGATCATAGTTACAAATATTTTCAAAGCCTGTAGATATGACAGATCCATATGTCAAACCAAAGAAAAAATGCTTTATTTGTGAGAAAAATATCCCACTCGACTATAAGGTATAAAAACGTAAAAATTACGTTATTTTACAGAATGTACGTTTGTTGTCTCAATTTGTCTCACCCTACACTGGACGCATTTATGGTCGCCACATAACAGGAATGTGTATTCCAATGCAAAAGAGAATATCCAAGTTGATTACAAAATCCAGGCAGTTTGGTAAGATTGTGCTGCATCCCTTCTACGAATTTAGGTTTTATGCCTTTTGAAAGTAAAGAGAGTGTTTTCGTTGCTGATCCCAGGATATCTGCCCCATCAAAAACTCGATGAACTTAGTACAGTGTAAAAAAACTTTTAGAATACAATAAAAATAACTTTTTTCTTTTTTCTAATGCCTAATTCATCTGTGAGTATCGTCTATTCTGTTTTATCTAATTTGAAAATACTAGGTTCTCTGAATTACGATTCCGAAATATATTTAGTTTGAAAATCTAGTTGAAGTGGTTAGTAAAACTGTAAGGATTTATATCAATGGTTTAGTTTGCTCGCTGTTACCACAATTAACCAGTCTAAGTGGGCATTTGCACGTGTCATATGTGTAAATAGATGGAGTTGTAGTAGCTTTTTTTTCCGCAGGTAACAATATACTTTGGACCTCTGAAGTAAGACTTCTAAAAATATTATGGAGATCGTATAGTGCAACCGATATGTGCTTTGTTATATCCTATGAAAATGTAGACATGATTGTCCACTCCTCTGATGCTACTGGTGATAGGTGTCTCTGTGAAAAATGTAAGCAGCATACTGTAATTACGAGGAATATGAAATTACGATAAAAGTGGACATCGGTTCATATTACAATCGAGTGTTGCATACGGTTCCTCGTCAGCGTCGAAGACGATTTATGTAGTTTCCTTTTTAGTTAAAACTAACAGTTTTAAGGCTTGCAGTCTTCAGAGGTAACCTGAATGTGTTTTATGGTATGCAATTAATGGAAGTTCACTGTATTACATATAATGTATATATATTGCATGGAATTATAAACAAGAAGAAACACTTAAAAGTACTTATGGTGGTGGTCTGTCAACCTGGATGTTATGTTAAGTAGTTTCACCATTAATGCGCAACCTGTCCTAGCTGAGCTGGTATAGCACCAGGCTAGTAATCAGGAAACCACTGGTCCGCATCATTTTGTGAACTAAGTTTTTATTTCTTACTAAGCCATCAATATCTTGATTAATTGTGAGTCCACCAATCCGGTTTTATTCCAGGTAGCTTCACCATCAGAGATATTTTTGTGAAATTTAAATTTTGATTAAAGTTTAGGGCGTTCAAGAGTAATTACGTAATCTAGGTGTTGTAATCGCATGAAGATTTGTCAAAAGTATAGTGATACTAGGTAATTAGGTAGGATAGTGCAATGAAGCAATTACAACTGCAAGATGAAGAAAGACATGACAAGGAAAGAGGATTGAATATGACAGGATTCAAGTTTAACAATAGATTTTACTGACTAGGTCCACTGCAAAATAACCTCAAGAGTAGGTCGATGAAGTACTCACACCTTTTATGGTTTTCAACCTTTTCTTGACTCATTAAAATCACTTTGCCACCAGATCGCCGAGCGAATAAATTTTCAGAGTTGGTTAAAGGGTAGATTCTTTTTTTTTCAGTCTCTTTTTGATTCTTTCTTGTCTATTGCACTGGTAGTTTGGAGTGATCTGGTAAGATGTTACTTGATATAGCCTCGTCTTTTTACAAACCCCTCATTGGCTTAAACGATGTATTGCACATGCTAATATATCGATTCTGAAGAATTGGATATTGACGTACTCATTCACTGTTTAAGCTATCTTCGTATGTTTGGCATGTGATTCGCCCGTGTAAAATATAAGATGATGCTGCAGGATTGGACTTCACCGAACCCTAGATTAGAAATAGGAAGTGAAGTGGTAGAGCACGTTGACTACTTCACTTATTTGGGAAGTACCGTCAGCCAGTGCCAACGGGTTGATTTCTGACGAAATCTCTGCACGAATACAGAGGGCTAGGTTCGCATATGCCAGTTTGCGCCATCTCTGGCGTAGACGTGATATCCGACTATCGACCAAAGGGCGTGTGTACTGCTTATCAGTCCACTCCATTCTCCTTTATGGCTGTGAGACCTGGCCATTGAGAGCAGAAGACATGAAAAGATTAGCTGTTTTCGATCATAGGTGTCCGCGTTCTATCTCCCGCGTGAAGTGGTATAATAAGGTGAGCAATATTGAGGTTAGGCGTCGAGTGCTAGGTAAGGCGGGGAAATCAATCGACGAGACTGTGAAGCTACATCGACTGAGATGGTTAGGACATGTGTTACACACGCATGCTTAGTCATTGCCTTCCTCGACGGGCAATGTTAGCTGACATGGGGTCAGGTTGGAAAAGAGCTAGAAGCGGTCAAACTAAAACATGACACCAGTCAATGAAATCCACAACAGTTAGTCTAAGCCACGTAGGAAGGTGTATACTTCCTGGTTGGGGTCCTCGAGATGGTAAAAACCAATGGTTGGAGACAATTGGTGATATGGCTCAAAATCGTTCTCAGTGGTTGGCTGGCGCAGATGCATCCACTCCTTGTGACTTATGATTTCCAATTAAACTGTTTTGTTCTTCGTTATTACTATTCCTTTGTCTCACACCTCTCTTTACTGTCTATATTATGCATTTCTCCTACTTTCTTCTCTTGCTTTGTGTGCTACATGGAGTGTGGCGACTTGAACTGCCACACATATGTGCAAAGTTCTATGTCGAGAACCGACCGACCGACTGTTTAAGCTCTTATTGAGATGCTTGTTGAATATCTAATTCTACAATAATGAACTAAACAAAGTAAGGGATCGCACAGGAGTGTGTTCATCACTCATCCCTCTGCCTACTGATTTCTTCATATTGAAGTTTGACAACATATGAACAAAACGTATAGACGATATGTTTTATTTTTTCTAGGAATACAGATGACTTAAAACATGCCCTATGTCTTTCCAACAGATGTTGCCTTACAATCCATTTCGCCGTAGAGACCAAATTGGATCCGAAAATATCCTTTTTTGGTGTGCAGTGGAACGCTTAAAAAATCTGTGTACAGGAAACATAAAATAAATCACTTGCAAACTTTTATAGTTGAGTGGGTTTAAATAAGGAGTGGAGTCTGATCTTTTCTGTGTGCCCCAGGTACTATCACAAATGAATTAAGTGCTCTTTTCATTTGGATTGCTAACTGATGAATAACTAATATCATGCATCCAGTCCTCGGTGTTATCACAGGCTAAATCCTTTCAGTCAAGTTTGAAGCATGGTCACCAAGTAGGTGACTCACCACCAGTCTGCACTAACATTAAGGAATACGTACCTGATATTGGTTACTCATCGGTGATCTATAGGATGTCAGTAGTAATTGATATAAGTAGAAAACTTGGGCACTGTGGTAGAGTATAACTCCATTATAAATAAGATTTTATTTTGATAAATCACACAGTGTTATTATTATTATATTATTTCCTTTAGTTCCTGGCTCCACGTCTGCCCACATGCTTTCATCTCCTCTTCACATAACCTCCACTTCATGTCACCCTCGCACTGACGACCAACTCGCCGCTCCCCGTTCGAGTTCCACTTGAGGGCCTGTCGTGTGATGTCACTTGATGGTTTTCTCAGAGTATGACCAATATATATACATGTATATAAATGAAGTAAAAAGTTGTGTGAGTGACTTGATAGGATTATGAGTGGCAATAGTTTGTGCTCGAAACATCATCAGTTAATATTACCATATAACATATTGTGTGATTTAGCAAAATAAAATCTTATCTATAATGAAGGTCAGTAGTAAGCCTGAATAGCTCAGGAGTAGCGTCTCAGGCATCGGCAAGATAGATAACAGGGATTCAAATCTCAAAGGAGACATGGGCTCGCTTAAGGCTGTAGAAATACCTTGCTGATGAGTGCTACCAAGCATGAAACCTAAGTCTAGGGCTTCCTACCGACTGTCTCCAATCATAGGAGGTTAAGTGCTTTTTAAAATCTCCTGACGGCAAGTAGTTATCCTAAAAGGTTCATGGTAGAAATTGTTTAACTTTAGGAAGATAAACATCATACATTCCTGATTCCCTAAGACTAGTTTTCTAACTGTATACTTTGGTGGTGACTCATCTCACTCATTAAGAAACATTTCATGCTCTCATACTCGTGTTGTAGTGATGTGTCAACTTTTTCACCACCGACCTCTCCATTTCAGTTTGTATCATTTTGCTAACTTACATCAGATTCAATGGTTCCAAACGAAAATATATTAATATATTAAATATTCCCATAGTAAAATTTAGAACAACACATTTAAGCGAACAATACTGGGGTTTCAATTAGATCTGATCATCAGGCTTAACTCTAATATACATAAGTTTACAAATAAAAAGGTGAGGCAATCTGTGGTAACACGAATAATGAAAACAGCATGATTAAACAAACAACTGTTCAGGGGGAAGTAGTCGATAAAGGCTAATAAAAACAAATGAACCGATTAAGTAATGCTAGACTGATTGTAAGGGAAGTAAATGAAACACGTTTTTAATGAAGATGTGATAAGATTAAGGGATGATAAGAAAGGGGTTGAAAATATAAGTAAGGGGTGGTGTAGAAGTCATTAGTTGGTTATGTCTTAATAGGCCGATAAGGGATGCATAGTTTAGGTTTAATAGTTCGAATGCCTATCGCCTCAGCTGTGAGCATGGAGTAGATGAGTACGAAATCTATTGGAAAGATTCGGTGGAACAGGATGAATCACCTTGAATGCCTTCGTTTTCTCTACTACATGACCGCTATCAATTAAATGTGACGAAATTGAGCTACAGATTGTTTTTGTCTGTCGTTTGCCAAACCAAGATGGGAGATGTTCACCAACGCGTTGGCTAAGCTGTCTAGTAGTACGCCAAACATAACTGTCACCGCAGGTGCAGTTGAATTGATAAATGCACATAGATGTGGCAAAACTATCAAGCTTATCCTTCGTTTGCGTCGCAATCATTCGTCGGCTAGAGAATGGCAAACATAGGTGTGCTGCGTAAAATGTTCTTCGTATACTCCTTGAAAGTCTTTGGAATAGAATTTCACTTGATAAGTCACCATTAAATTGTAACTTGATAAATAGAGGTTTTATACGTGCAGTCAGAGTCTCAGGTTCTCTCTCTGATGTTTTCATATGTTTCTTTATAAAACTACTCGTCAAGGAATCGTGAATATATTCAAATTCCTTTTGTAAGAAGTCATCCGTACATATCTTTCTTGCTGTGCTGGTAAGACATTTGACAACATTTCTTTCAAACTTAATG